TCGAGAAAATAAAATCAAGACCGAAAATATCGCAACAATCGTAGTATTTTATTTCAAATATTTGAGTGTTACAATCTCTATGATTCCTTTGATTCTACTTTTCAATAGTAAATAAATTCAAGAGCCTTTGAACTTGATCTTGAATCTATGTTTTTTTGCCACGAACGATGATCTTGTTCTTGAGCTTGAGTTTGATTGCTTGGACTTGAACTTGATTTGGTCTTCGTTCTTGAGCTTGAACTTGATTTGTTCTTCGTTCTTGAGCTTGAACTTGATTTCTTGAAATTGAACTTGAAGCTTGAAACTTGTGGAGGAATTTGCAGCGTTTGATCCACGAGCTCTTTCTTGCTTCTTGTTATAACTTCTGGTCCCCTTTCTGAGTTTTGAAGACCCCTATTTATAGTTGTAGGAGGGAAGAGTTATGATAAGAACAAACTTTTTCCGACCAATCAAATTGAAGTGTGACATGACCGCATTTGATTGGCCAGAACATGTCACTTGCACACGTGGCGCGATTTCATTGGCCTTTTAACGTGACTGGACATGCCTTGTCATTTTGACACGTGGCATGGTCCTATTGGCTCTTCCGCTTGACTTGGCGCGCCACGTCATGTGACACGTGGCACCAAACTGGGCCTCTAGGAAGATGACATCTTGGGCTTAATGAAGTGGGCTCATCACTTTAGCCCAATTAAATGGGCTAGCCCAATGGATTAAGACTTATTTATTTAATCCATATATATTGGACTTATATAATTAATTCAATTATATTAGCCCGTCATATTTAGTTGGACTAACATATTTAATATTTAGTCCAAATTATTTTATTGAATTTAAATCCAATAAATTTTGTATGCTTACAGGAAGCGCTACCTCCCGAATGGGGCCTTACCCAGCGCGAATCCGGATATAGTCCAGCTCCAATGCGGGTACCGGACACCGAACACCGGGTAGGAAACCAAAAAAAAAACTCTTCCTATAGTTTTTCAAATAAATTAATTACGAGTATTTGGTTTGCTTACATGATTATAATTACCAAAAATTTTCAATTGCTTACTCTATTTTCATATTACACTCGTTTTTTTCCAGCTTATAAAAAAAACATATATTTTATATTTGAAACTCCTTAATTTCAAACTTTTCATTTTTTTACTTTAATAACTTGTTCCATAAAACTATCGCGGTAGGGATATAAAATAAACATAGGGTAAAATATAAAACCTACCATCAGTTGAAACTAATTTTATTTGCTAGCCGAAAAGTGTATAAAATATGTATATTTTTTAATATATAATATACCTATATACATGAACTATATATCAACTAGTATTATTTTAGGAGCGACTAAAATATGCATATCTCATAAACATATTACTAATATTTTGTAATCTACGGGTGAAAAAAAAAACTATCTATATTCTATCTATATAGAATAAGAGAAGCAAATCAATGTAATGATGCCAAGTGTCACAACAAAAATTCAACAAGTGTCAAATTTTAGGATAAAATTAGTTACTCTTTTTGAATTTGAATTAAAAAATAATTAAATATCTATATATTTTTAAGGAATTTATTATAAAAAAAATATAAATAAATAATTCCAATAGAGAAATATATAAAATGATAAGACTAATTTATTTTTTGAGATAAGAATTTTTTTCAATAATAATTCATATAGTCTTGCTATATGAATAAGATCATGTAATTAAAAGATTATAATAGATAAAACTAAAGACAAAATTATAAACAATAATTTCAAGAAATAAATAAAATATATAAAGATATAATTTAAATTATTATATAGTAATTTTAATAAAAAATTAAACTTTTATATTAAAATTATATTATTTAAATTTTTAGTAAAATAATATAATTAGATAAGCAAGGGAAAAAAAGAAATATAAATTAGCGGGAAAATATAAAATATAAGACTTATAATTAGAGTTACAACGAGAAAAGTAGTATATATAACATAAGTTTAAAAAATAAAAATATTTTCAGCGTAAAAAAAAATATATTTATGTTATATTAAAATATAAGTACCATCAATATATTAAGCCAATTGATAAGTTAATAAAAACTCATATTAGTAATTGTATAGTATTAAATACTTGCTAATTTAATAAAGAATAAATAAGGAACAATCAATTTATTTAATTACTATATGATGCGGATATTTTGTATGCTATATTAAATAATAAAATAATAACTAATATTTATTAAAATACTATAATATATTATATCATAGCTTTATAAAATTAATATTCTGTGGGCTAACACCAATAGAGAGGGAACAAAAGGCAGGGGTATAATTCCAATAGTACCCTCCATTTCATCTCAAAACTACACATCGGCAAATTCTTCAGTCTTGAGTCTCAAACCCACCGTCGCCAGCTAAAACCCTACAAATTCCGGCGGACAATGGATTCAGCAAAACCCTCAGCTCAAATAAAGGACAAAGACTTGTTCAAAGCTGCTGAATCTGGCGATTCATCGCTTTTCGAATCACTTACAGAAGAACAGCTCCTTAAAGCCCTCTCTCTCCGTAATGAAGATGCCCGTTCTCTCATTCACGTTGCCGTCTCTTCTGCCCACATTCAGGTTCTTTCTCTCGCACACTAACATTAACTCACTCCGTCGCAATTTATGTAGAAGTGTAACTGGACACGCATTTTAAGAAAGAAAAACTTTTGAAGCTTATCTAAAATAAGGTAGAGACATTAAAAGTAAAATAGGAGGTTTAAAGTTAAAATTGTTTCATAGAAAAGTGTCATCCCAATCTAAAAATGAAAATTTGCCATACAAAATTGGACAGATGGAGTTTGATAATTTTCTCTTTTCAAGTTTCAAATTAATTAGTTTAACCAATGTTATGAAATGTATGGAACGACAACAACAACAAATACAGTGTAATCCCACAAGTGGGGTTTGAGGAGGGTAATGTGCACGGAAACTTTACTCTTACCTTGTGAAGGTAGAGAGACTGTTTCTCTTGTCAAGGAACAGAGAAAATAAAGCAACAAACAATAGCAATGTACATGAGAAGGGGAGCCTTGGAGCAATGGTAAAGTTATCTCCTTGTGATACTACATGTCACGAGTTTGAGCCGTGGAAACAACCAGTAATACTTGCATTATGGTAGATTGTCCACGTCACATCCCTTGGGATTTGGCTCTTTCTCGGACCCTGTGTGAATACGGATGCTTTTTGCACCGGGCTTCCCTTTAACAATGTTGTATCTGTGCGCACGTCAACTAATCAATTGGGTTTAAAATGTATCATATTGCCACTTTGATACAGGGAATTGTAACTTATTGTAGTTTACAAAAATCTTGAGTTTTAACTTAAGAAAAAATTAATCTTGTCTTGGAAGTTACTCTAATTGACTTCCTATTATAAGGGAAAAGTGTTAAAATAAATATTTGGGTAAAAGGGGAGACTAATATAAATCACATTTCTTTTAAAGTTAAAATATATACGTGACATTTGAATCATCATAGAAAAGAATATTATGTTTGATTCTCCAGGACAAATTTGGACACGCAAAGTATAATTTTTATGTAATCCCTAAATGTGGTGTTTACAATGTTGAAGCTAGGGGTTGAAGTAATAAGTTTGTGAAGTTTGGGTAATTTTGGTGATGTATATTAGGTGGTGAAGATTCTTGCGGCTGCTGATCCCTCAGCGAGTGGTATAAATAGTGGTGATGAAGAAGGTTGGGTGCCATTGCACTCTGCAGCAAGCAGTGGTAATGTGGAAATTGTGGAGATTCTGCTCAGCAGAGGTGAGCAGTATAACAATTTGCTGTGTTGTATGAAAATTAACACCTTATTTATGTCATATAAAGTATATATCTTTACAAAACTGGAAAAATTAAAAAATGAAAATATAAGGACTTTCAGTTTTTGGAGCTTATTTTAATGAATTTGTGTGCGGTAAGTCCATTGAATCATGGATATTAAGGAGTAGAAGAAAGAAATTGAATGGATGTGCTAAACCTGAAATCAGATGGATGTACATTTAAAAAGAGAGTGTGATTGAATTTGTTGAGGGTTACTAACTTTTTTTTTTACCTTGTTGAGTGTTAACTTATATACGAAACTTTTGCATTGTGCCTACCTGATATCAAATCACTTGGGTCAGCCATCTAATGAAATCAAATGAATCCCGGCAGAAATTGCACTGAACAATTTTGTACTAATCCATCTACCAATACTTGTATTTCACTATTTCTCCAACATCAAGCTAGGGTTCCCTGTTCTCATGAAATTTGTTGCAGGGGCAGTTTTCTAAGATGAAACAATGTTATCCTTATGTCAGCTATATGTTATTTGTAACCTTTAATCCTGTGTATCCTGTGAGGATTCTGGCGCTGTCCCCTCACTGGGAGGGTGAGTTGTGAAAGTGTACCTACTTTTGTCAGCATTGTTTACTGAATCCAGTTCAGTGGTTTTAGTGGTTTAGCCATGTATTTGTGATAGTAAATGTGAATATATTTGTAAATAGGTGCTGATGTAAATCTGAAAAATGATGGTGGCCGCACTGCCCTTCACTATGCTGCTAGCAAGGGTCGAGTGAAAATTGCTGAACTTTTGATTTCACACGGTGCTAAGATCAATGCGAAAGACAAGGCTTGTAATCTTATGCTTGGGACTAATCATCTTCTTGGAAAGCTTATTATGGTTTCAATATATTTGAAGATTAGGGTGTTCGTAACTTCTTGCTATTGGTTTTATTAACATGTGATATAGGTAGGATGCACCCCATTGTACCGTGCAGCTAGCACGGGGAACTCTGAGCTGTGCGAACTATTAATTGAGGAAGGCGCTGAAATTGATGAAGTTGACAAGGCAGGCGAAACGCCCTTGATGACTGCTGTTGTATGCGGCAATAAAGAGGTAATTCTGCAGAAGTTATTTCCATCAACTTGGATGAAAATATTATTGTTTCTTAGGTTTAAGTCTTTAATCTTGTTCATGAGCTATATAGCAAAAGGGTCATAAATATCTGACAGGTGAACAGTGCATAGATCTTTTTTATTCTTAATACTATATACTTAAGCATGTCAAGTATCAGATATCTCATGCTGCCCTTTTCTAAGTTATTGCACCTTTTTATTTGGTTTGAGGAATGACCCTACTACCCCATTTGTGAAAGAAATAACAGTTCGATCTTTCTCCCCTTTGTTTGTTAGGTCAAACCGCTGAAACCAACTTATATTTGAGCAAAGTTGTTTCCCCGGAAACTTGGTACGAAACTCTGGGTTTACTCACCTGCATGATGCATTCCTCTGAAAAGCTCACTAGAAATCCATCTAATGTATATCGAAGGGTATGACCTAGTGATCAATTTTGAAGGGCCCTGCGAGACCATGGTTCAAATCTGAGAAAAAAAAGTGATTTCTTTCATTTTCCTAAACCTTCGTGGGCGTAGTTACCCGGTATATGTGGTGATGGGAGGCAGTAGGTACCTTGTGGATAGGTGTGGATAGGTCTGAGGTTCTGCAAGCTGGCCAGAACACCGCTCTTGTAAATAAACACACATCTTTGTTGTAGAATTAGTGATGTGTGCCTCTCGAACGAAGCACTACCAAAATTTCCGAGCCTTAAGTTTCTGCTTAATTGTACCTTGAACTTCCTCAATGTTAGTATTCTACCCAAATCAAATTTATATGAGCTGAAGAGTCCACTGCTGATGCTCTCTTGAATACATTTGGTACTAAGGTTGATTCATTGCGGTGTCTGCAATTATTGGGGAAAAAAAATTTGGTTCTAGAGAACATTCTTAAGGATCCAACACTTCTTTAGAATTATTATGACATTACGTAACAAACAACAAAGCACATGGTGATTATTGTTACTTGACAGGTAGCTATGCTCCTCATAAGACATGGAGCAAATGTCGACGCTGAGGACAAGGAAGGTTACACTGTGCTTGGTCGAGCTTCTAATGATCTTCGCCCAGCACTGGTTGATGCTGCAAAGACAATGCTCGAAGGATGAACTCCACGACTTCATCGCCTATCAGAAAATTCGAGCCGACTCTGTAAAGCATTATGAATACGTAAAGTAGATTGTTTGCAAGCAGGTCATGGTTCTTTTTTTAGTTGCATGGGAAGAAATCTAAATGTTGTTCTGCCTAATTTATAGTATTGCTTTCTACTAACTTAAACATACATGTTCACAACAACGACAACAACATACCCAGTGTAATTTCGCAATTGTTGATATTTACTATTGACCTCACGTTGGGAAAAATCGGACAATGTGTCTACCAACAATATTTCCTATTTTGTTCTTTTAAGCGAAACCCTTCTTTAAAATTACTCAGCTAAATTTAGTTAGAGATCATTATTCAAAAGTCTCTTTTTAAAAATCAGATGAATTTAAATTCATGATATTGTAGTCCGAAGAGTGGCCTTATAGAACAAATTGTTGGGGTGGGGATGGAGAATAGGGTGGGGAAGGTTGAAAAAGGAGTTTTGGAAAATGTTTTCCCATTCTCCTGACAGGAAAAACATTGTACTCCAATTGCAGGAAAATGAGTTCACGAGAAAAATATTTTCCAAAATATTTAGGTCAACCAAATATGAGAAAATTGAAAAACATTTTCCTTAATAGCAAACCACACCCTATATGTCATAATGTTTAGGACTAGCAAATACTAGGCCAAAGTTTACTCATATGGTCAATTTGAATAGCACCAAAGATATTGTTTTGAAGATTCGTACTACCTCCGGAGTGATCCTATAATAGGAATTGTACGAGGTATTCGCCTAGAGAACCTTTATTAAATTATATTTAATTTTTAAAAATATTTAAAGTTTAGTCTATATTGACAAATTCCACTCCTACGCTATTGTTCCTCACCTCCTCGGTTCCTCCTTCGCTTCTACTTCTTCTTCTTCTTAGTAAATAGCAAAATCAAATTTCTGGTCTTCCAAGCGGCTATTTGCATAGCACTAAAGCATGCCGGTCTTGTCTGAATTTGACTTTGAGTAAACATTAAAAATTTTGTAAGCTTCGGCTATTCTTTAAATAATGGTCCTCCAAGCGGCTATTTGGTAAAAATAGCACAGTGTATCCAGTTTTCGGACCAGTCATTCAAAAATAGTCAGCGTTTACGAAGTCAATAAAAAATAGCCACTATTTGCTACAACAGAGACCGGTCCAGCATAATATACTGGAATTCGGTGCACCTGTGTATGAACTCCAGCATATTATGCTAGACCGGTATACTTTGCTGGCTCCAGTATAATATACTGGAGACTAGAGCACCGGTGCTCCAAACTCCAGTATATTATGCTAGACCGGTATACTTGCTGGAACTCCAGTATATTATGCTGGAGTTCTAGTGTACTTATGCTGGAACTCCATCATATTATGCTGGAGTTCCAACATACTTATCCTGGAACTCCAGTATAATATGCTGGATTTCAAGTATACTTATGCTGGAACTCCAGCAAAATATACTGGCGTATTTTCCGGGTTTTGAACAGTGTTTTCGCTCAGATTTATCTTTACATGAAAAGTGGCTAAATTTTGATTACTTTTGAAATTGGACTATTTTTGAACGACCAATTATAAAATTGACTATTTTTTAATTTCACCCGGCTATTTGTGCAATTGCCCCGATCTTACTTAGCTTCTTTGTACCTAAGATTGGATTTGGGCCTGGCCAAATCCTTGAAAGAGCAAAGGAAAAGGGAAAATGACACTAGGTGGACAGACACATAAGAAAAATTGGCAATTTTTTAGTCTTATATTAGATTTGACAAAGACAGCCCTAAACAATTAGTTTTGGGCTTGGCCCAATCTTTGAACATGAAATAAACAAAGCAAATACGTTTTTGGGATTGTTACACAAACAGCCGGCCAGATTCAATATTTACTTTTTTTTGCCAATATATATAGATTATACATTACTTACACACAGTTATACATATATTATATATGAATTATATATATATTTGCGGTTATTTTTAGTTTAAGAGACAGCTGGACAGCTATTTGGTTTAATTCTTCTACGTTTTTTTGGGCGAAATGCGCAAAGCCGCTTTTAGGACAGTTATTTAAAATAGAGCCGAAATTTCCATAGTATTTAAAATTAAGCAACATTATCAAATTGAAAAAACTTCATTTGCAGCCATCCGGGGAAACTAATGACAATAGGTAGCCACAAAATAAACCATACAATTAATAGCACAAAACCAATTAAAAGGGCTAGCTCAAAACTACTGCCACTCTTCCCCCTTCAAATTTCAAACTTTTCAACTCCGTAAGCTAATTTAATTCATACATTCCCCTTATTCTGCCACCTACTTAGAGAAAGTCGAAGTAAATTGGCTACTTTTCCTATTTTCATGTGAACTTTTTAGGTTAGAAAACACATAATCATTAGCTTAAGTAGTCGCAAACAAAAAAATCTATAACTAGTGCGTAAGAAACTAGGATACCAATGGGTCAAAGACTTAGAAAAGGTAAGCAAAAAATAAGAAGATACCTTTATCATGATGATATTGAGATGCGGATCCACATTTTCAAAGAAATAGAAGTAAATCAATCAATACAATTAGGTATGCAGCAAAATATACCATCAGGTCTAAGAATAGGGGAGTAATTAGTGTCACTTGATCCATCTCGAACTTCTTTAAGTAAAGATACAAAATTGCTGAAGTGCACCATTGTAAAAGTTCTCAGCTCAAAATAACTGTGTTGATGCATATGTCAAATAGGGGGAGGAAAAACAGATCTAGAACGGCCAAAAGCTTGAGAAGAATTTTCTATTATTAAGTGTGCATATGGTAGGACAGAGTCGACGAGTATGCAATATCTATAGGGTCAGAAAGAGAGCAATATGTTTTGATTGGAAAAGGGATATTAACAATGTAAGCTAGTTAAGAACAAGCCTTGTGTTAACATCCTTTGTTTTGGTCTATTTTAAAGTCTCATAGAAAATATAATAACGGAGTCAGCAAAAACACCATACTCAGCTGTTATTAGGTATAAGAAATGTAGGATAAAGTATATTCCAATTTCTCTCTCTAGGCTCTCGGCCCACCGGAAACAGCCATGGGGAGAAGGGGACGGCAAAAACAACAACTCGTCACTGTTGGAAGCTCTGTAAGTGCAAAGGTTATAACGGAAACACTAAAAAGAGGTAGTACACAAAAGCTCGCAACACCGTCGGAAAATCAATTTCCGTCAAGTTCATTGATTGTAAATACACCACAGCTACCAAATGCAACAACAAAGCGATTAAACCTAAGTGGGATGTCAGTTGAGGAACACCACTAGTCGACGTCACTGAAATCGTTAACTGGGGATAAAACCCAGGTGAATATGGGAGAAGCATCAAGTAGCAATCAAAGCAGATCTCAAAATTTCATAAAGACATTCAACATGCATTATCTGAGAATGGAAAAAAAGAGATTACAGTGGAAAATCAAGTAACTGACCAGCTTGCATCGTCTGGTAATAAAAGCAAACACGTGGTGGGCAGTGAAATTGAAGGCCGGGGAAAGCTTGAAACTAAGGCAACAAAAGCAGGAGGGCCTAATAGAACATGGGTTAATCTGTTTGCAGGAAATAGAGCAGCTGAGAATGGCATGATGTTGACATATATGGCACTAGACATTGTCAATGGCAAGGTAGTGGTGAAATTAGACAAAGAGGAGGTCGAGAAGGAAACCATAAAATGGAAGAATGCTCTGACTGTATACATTACCGGTGAGACACCTGGATATAATTACATGAAACAGTTTGTGGCTCGCACCTGGTGCAATGTGACTGAACCAATTCTTTACCTCCATGAAGAAGGTTATTACATTGTGAAGTTCCAAAATATAGAAGATCTTCAGGAAGTTTTGTATGGAGGGCCTTATAGTATCAATAACAGACCTATGATCTTAAAGAAATGGGTACCAAATTTTGATATATCAAATGAATTCCTAACAAAAATTCCTTTGTGGGTCACTTTTCCCCAATTAACAATGAACTGCTGGGGATATAAATCACTTAGAAAAATGGCTAGTGCAATTGGTAAGCCTCTATTTGCAGATCAATGTACAGCTAACCAAACTAGAGTATCATATGCTAGGATCCTAATTGAGGTAAATGTTACTAAAGAAATTCCAAGCGAGATAACAATGGAGGATCCATCTGGAAGACATTTTCAGCAAGCCATTTTTTATGAGTGGAAATCAGAATATTATGCTGAGTGCCTCAAGCTTGGGCATGATTACAGCAAGGCCAAGAAAGAAGTAACAATAGGGCAGGCACAAAGAGGTAGAAGACAAAGGAGAGTAATTCCAACTTGGATACCTAAGGGCACAATCACACAAAGGGAGAAAGAGGATACATAAGATCAGCCACAACCAAATACTAAAGAGAATAGAGGATCTCATCAAGCTCAAGAGTACAAGGGCCAGGGACATCATATACATGACACTAACCAGCAGGAGAATTGGCAATTAGCAAAGAAGGTAGTAGGGAGCCCAAAGAAAACAACAATGCTTATACAAGGAGGAACATAACACAATGAGGCAATTGATGGAGGATATGCTATAATAATCATGAATGGATTTCAATCACTACAAGCTGTGGAAACTGAGACAGAAAAAGCCAAACCTCTTGATATAGGAGGGAAATCACAACATCAACGATGACTTGGTTAATTTGGAATGTTATATGATTGAATAAGAGATATAAACAAAAGAAATAAAGTAGTATCTAAAAGAAAAATACATAAAAATAGCTGGGCTAGTGGAAACTAAAGTCAAAGAGAAGAATGTTGGGGCTATATCAAAATGGATTGCACCATATTGGAAGATAATCATCAACTACAACA